TCCCCCCAGTGTCCCCGCTGTCCCCACCCCCCCGCTGTCCCCGTGTCCCCACCCATGCTCCGCGCCAGCGGCGTCACGTAGTCGGGGTCGAAGGTGAGGCGGAGCTCGGGGCCCCAGCGCGTGCCCAGGTCCTGCTCCTCCTGCTCCACGCAGGCCGGCGCCGCCTGCAGCCGCTCCAGCCGGAAACTCGTCTGCTCCCAGAGCGCCCGGATGTCCCCAAGGGGCTCGGCCAGCAGCTCCTGGCCACCCACCGACACCGTCACCTGCGGGGACAGCATTGGGGACATTGGGGACACTGGGGACATTGGGGACATTGGGATATGGGACACTGGAATGGTGGCACTGGAATGGTGGCACTGGGAAATGGGGACATTGGAGACATTGGGATATGGGGCACTGGAATGGTGACATTGAGGTTTGGGGACACTGAGAACATTGAGGGACACTGAGGACATTGAGGACACTGGGGACATTGGGTTATGGGGCACTGGAATGGTGGCACTGGGAAATGGGGACACTGAGGGACACTGAGGCACAGGGACTCGTCTGCTCCCAGAGCGCCCGGATGTCCCCAAGGGGCTCGGCCAGCAGCTCCTGGCCACCCACCGACACCGTCACCTGCGGGGACAGCATTGGGGACATTGGGGACACTGGGGACATTGGGGACATTGGGATATGAATGGCGGGAATGGTGGCACTGGAATGGTGGCACTGGGAAATGGGGACATCGAGGATCTGAAGAACATTGGGGACATTGAGGGACATTGAGAACATGGAGGACATTGGAGGCATTCAGAGACATTGGGGACTTGGGGACATTGAGGGACATTGGGGACATTGAGGACATTGAGGACATTGGGGACATTGGGGACACTGGGGACATTGGGGACCTCCGGGGGATTGGGGACACTGGAGACATTGGGATATGGGACATTGGAATGGTGACATTGGAGTTTGGGGACATTGAGAACATTGAGGGACATTGGGGACATTGGGGACACTGGGGACATTGGGGACATGGAGGATATTGGAATGGTGACATTGCGGTTTGGGGACATTGGGGACATTGAGGACGTTGAGGACATGAACATTGGAGACATTGGGAACATTAAGGACATTGGGGACATTGGGGACATTGAGGATGTTGATCCCCCTGTGTCCCCAATGTCCCCAAATGCCCTCAATGTCCCCATTGTCCCTGATGTCCCCCTGTGTCCCCAATGTCCCCAAATGCCCTCAATGTCCCCATTGTCCCTGATGTCCCCCTGTGTCCCCAATGTCCCCAAATGCCCTCAATGTCCCCATTGTCCCTGATGTCCCCCAGTGTCCCCAATGTCCCCAAATGTCCTCAATGTCCCCATTGTCCCTGATGTCCCCCTGTGTCCCCAATGTCCCCAAATGCCCTCAATGTCCCCATTGTCCCTGATGTCCCCCAGTGTCCCCAATGTCCCCAATATTCCCAATCCCCCCAATGCCCCCAACGCTCCTGATGTCCTCAGTGTCCCCCGATGTCCCCAACATCCCCCAATTGTCCCCAATCCCCTCAATGTCCCCGCTGTCCCTGCTGTGCCCATTGTTCCCCCGTCCCTGCTGTCCCCGCTGTCCCCGTGTCCCCTCACCATGGCGCGGGGTCCGTAGGGGCCGCTGTGGCCGATGGGGACACAGGTGACACCGGCGTCCTGGTAGCGGCGGCACACGGGGACGGCGGCCACCGCGGGGACCTCGAGCAGCAGCGCCGGCTCCTCGGCGAAGAGCAGCGCCAGCGCTGGGGACAGAGGGGACATTGGGGACATTGGGGACATTGGGGACAGAGGGGACACTGGGGACATCAGAGGGGACATCGGGGGACATCGGGGACATTGCATTCATGGGGACATTGGGGACATTGGGGACAGAGGGGACATTGGGGACATCAGAGGGGACATCAGGGACATTTGGGACATGGGGACAGAGGGGACATTGGGGACATGGGGACAGCGGGGACATCAGAGGGGACACTGGGGACATGGGGACAGCGGGGACATTGGGGACATTGGGGGCACTGGGGACATTGGGGACAGCGGGGACATTGGGGAAGTGGGGGCATTGGGGATCCTGGGGCCACCGGGGGACATTGGGGACATTGGGGACAGAGGGGACATTGGGGACACTGGGGACATTCGGGACATTGGGGACACTGGGGGTTGGGGACACCGAGGGTTCGGGGACACTGACGGGTGACGCCGGGCGGTGGCGCGGGGACGCTGACGGTGACACCGCAGTTCCCAGCGAAGGCCATCTCCAGGACACAGCCCAGCAGGCCACCGTCACTGACGTCATGGCCGGCCAGCAGGACACGCTCTGGGGACACAAATGTCACCGGTGTCACCAATGTCACCGTCAGTGACGTCATGGCCGGCCAGCAGGACACGCCCTGGGGACACAAATGTCACCGGTGTCACCTCAGGTCACCCAGGGTCACCAAGTGTCACCTCGGGTCACCTCAGGTCATCAAAGGTCACCCAGGGCCAACAAATGTCACTCAGGGTTCCACATGTCACCTCAGGGTCATCAGATGTCACCTCAGGGTCACGAAATGTCACCTCAGGCCACACAGGGTCACCCTAGGGTCACCAAATGTCACCCAGGGCCACCTCAGGTCGCTCAAAGTCACCTCAGGGTCACCAATGTCACCTCAGGGTCACATCGGGGTCACCAAATGTCACCCAGGCTCAGCAAATTTCACCTTGGGGTCATCTAATGTCACCTTGGGACACCAAGTGTCACCTCGGGGTCACCAAGTGTCACGAGGCTCAGGAAATGTCACCTCGGGGTCACCTCAGGGCTCCAAGTGTCACCAAGTGTCACCTTGGGGTCACCAAGTGTCACCTTGGGGTCACCAAATGTCACATCGGGATCACCAAATGTCACCTCAGGGTCACGTTGGGGTCATCAAATGTCACCTCAGGGCTCCAACCAGGGGCTAGAAATGTCACCTCGGTCACCAAATGTCACATCGGGGTCACCAAATGTCACGAGGCTCAGCAAATGTCACCTCGGGGTCACCTCAGGGCTCCAAGTGTCACCAAGTGTCACATTGGGGTCACCAAATGTCACATTGGGGTCATCAAATGTCACCGCAGGGTCATGTCGGGGTCACCAAATGTCACCTCAGGGTCACCTCAGGGTTATCAAATGTCACCAAGTGTCACCCAGGGGCTAGAAATGGCACCTTGGTCACCAAATGTCACCTCAGGGCCACCTCAGGTCACCTAGGGGCACCTTGGGGTCACCCAGGGTCACCTCAGGGCTCCAAATGTCACCAAGTGTCACCCAGGGTCATGTCAGGGTCACCAAGTGTCACCCAGGGTCACCAAATGTCACATTGGACCACCAAATGTCACCCAGGGGCTAGAAATGTCACCTTGGTCACCAAATGTCACCTCAGAGTCACGTCGGGGTCACCAAGTGTCACCTCAGGGTCACCAAGTGTCACCTCGGGGTCACCAAATGTCACCTCAGGGTCACGTCGGGGTCACCAAGTGTCACCTCAGGATCACCCCAGCGTTATCAATGTCACCTCAGGGTTATCAAATATCACCAAGTGTCACCTCAGGGTCACCTCAGGGTTATGAAATGTCACCAAGTGTCACCCAGGGGCTAGAAATGGCACCTTGGTCACCAAATGTCACCTCAGGGCCACCTCAGGTCACCCAGGGGCACCTTGGGGTCACCCAAAGTCACCTGAGGGTCACCAAATGTCACATCGGGGCCACCAAATGTCACCCTGGGGCTCCAAATGTCACCTCCGGGCCACCAAGTGTCTCCACAGGGTCACCTCAAGGTCACCAAATGTCACCTCAGGGTTGTCAAGTGTCACATCAGGGTCACCTCAGGGCTCCAAATGTCACCAAGTGTCACGTCGGGGTCACCAAATGTCACCTCAGGGTCACCAAGTGTCACCTCGCGTCACTCAGGGTCACCAATGTCACCTCGGGTCACACAGGGGCTCCAAATGTCATCAAATGTCACCTCAGGGTTATCAAATGTCACCAAGTGTCACCTTGGGGTCATCAAATGTCACCTCAGGGCCACCAAATGTCACCTCAGGGTTGCCAAGTGTCACCCAGGGTCACCTCAGGGCTCCAAATGTCACCAAATGTCACCCAGGGTCATCAAATGTCACCTCGGGGTCACCAAATGTCACCTCAGGGTTAAGAATGTCACCTTGGGGTCACCGAATGTCACATCAGGGTCACCCACAGGGTAGTCGGGGTCACCAAATGTCACAATCAAATGTCACCTCAGTTGCGTCACCCAGGGTCACCTCAGGGCTCCAAATGTCACCAAATCAAATGTCACCCAGGGTCATCAAATGTCACCTCGGGGTCACCAAATGTCACCTCAGGGTTAAGAATGTCACCTTGGGGTCACCAAGTGTCACATCAGGGTCACTCAATGTCACCTTGGGGTCACCAAATGTCACATCGGGGTCACCTCAGGGTTGCCAAGTGTCACCTCAGGGTCACGCTGGGGTCACCAAATGTCACCTGAGATCACCAAATGTCACCCAGGTCACCAAATGTCACATCGGGGTCACCAAGTGTCACCTCAGGGCCCCAAAATCGCCGTTTTTCACCCCAACAGCCCCAAAATCCTGACCTTTCACCCCAAATTTGTCATTTTTCTCCACAAAGTTCCCATTTTTCACCCCCAAATCCCCGGTTTTAGCCCAAAAAATCAGCGTTTTTAGGCCAAAAATTGTCGTTTTTTGCCCAAAAATCTGGGTTTTCACTCAAAGGCCCAAAATCAGCTTTTCAGCCCAAAAACTCCAAAATCCCCATTTTTCACCCAAAATTTTCCAGTTTTTTACCTCAAAATCTCAGGTTGTCATCCCAAAATCTCCTTTTAACCCCAAAAATCTCAAATTTTTGCCCAAAAATCTCAACATTTTGCTCAAAGATTTCATTTTTTTTTCCCAAAAATCCTCCTTTTTTTAAGGCCCAAAATCAGCTTTTCAGCCCAAAAACTCCAAAATCCCCATTTTTCACCCCAAATTTTCCAGTTTTTTACCCCAAAATCTCCATTTTTCAACCAAAATCTCAGGTTGTCATCCCAAAATCTCCTTTTAACCCCAAAAATCTCAATTTTTTGCCCAAAAATCTCAACATTTTGCTCGAAGATTTCATTTTTTTCCCAAATATCCTCCTTTTTTTCCCCTAAATCACCTTTTTTCACCCCAAATCTCTAGTTTTCACCCAAAAATCACTGGGTTTTGCCCTAAAATCTCCTTTTTTTTCCCAAAAAATGGTCATTTTCCATTCAAAAATCACCATTTTTCACCATAAAATTGCCTTTTTTCCCCAAAAATATTCATTTTTTCACCCAAAGAGCCCCAAAAATCCATATTTTGCACCCCAAAATTTCCAATTTTTTGCCCCAAAAATCTCAGTTTTTTCACTCTAAAATTACCATTTCTCACCTTAAAATTTCCAATTTTTTGCTCCAAAAAGCACCAAAATCCCCATTTTTCACCCCAACAGCCCCAAAATCCCCATTTTTCACCCCAAACCCCCAAGACTGACGATTTTCACCCTAAAATTTCCTTTTTTTTGCCCCAAAATCACCACTTTTTTGCCATAAAATCGCCACCTTTTCCCCTAAAATCTCCATTTTTTCGCTCCAAATCTCAGGTTTTTCATCCTAAAATCTCCATTTTTCACCCCAAAATCCCCTTTTTTTCAATTTTTCACCCCGACAGCCCCAAAATCCCCATTTTTCACCCAAACCCCCAAGACTGACGATTTTCACCCTAAAATTTCCATTTTTTTGCCCCACATCACCATTTTTTTGCCAGAAAATTGCCGCCTTTTTCCCCCAAAATCTCCATTTCTTCGCTCCAAATCTCAGGTTTTTCACCCCAAACTCCCCATTTTTCACCCCAAACTCCCCATTTTTCACCCCGACAGGACTGACGATTTTCACCCTAAAATTTCCATTTTTTTGTCCCCACATCACCATTTTTTTGCCAGAAAATCGCCACATTTTCCCCTAAAATCTCCATTTTTTCGCTCCAAATCTCAGGTTTTTCATCCTAAAATCTCCATTTTTCACCCCAAAATCCCCATTTTTTCACTCAAAAGCCCCAAAATCCCCATTTTTTCACCCAAAAATTGCTGGGTTTTGCCCTAAAATCTTCTTTTTTTCCACAAAAAAAATCTCCTTTTTCCACTCAAAAATCACCATTTTTCCATTTAAAATCCCCTTTTTTTCACCCTAAAATCCCCATTTTTCGCCCTAAAATCGCCATTTTTCACCCTAAAATCGCTGTTTTTTCGCCCAAAGAGCCCCAAAATCGCGGTTTTTCGGCCCAAACCTTGGAGCAGCTGCTGGGTGACGTTGAAGGCGGCCTCGAGGCGCGCGGGCTCCTCCAGGTCGGGGCAAACAGCCCCAGACAGCCCCAAAATCCCCATTTTTCACCCCAAAATCACCGTTTTTTTGCCCAAAGAGCCCCAAACTCCCCGTTTTTCACCCCAAACTCCCCATTTTTCACCCCAACAGCCCCAATAATGACGATTTTCACCCTAAAATTTCCAATTTTTTGCCCCACATCACCTTTTTTTTTGCCAGAAAATCGCCGCCTTTTTCCCCTAAAATCTCCATTTTTTCACTCAAAAGCCCCAAAATCATTGCTTTTCCACCCAAAAATTGCTGGGTTTTGCCCTAAAATCTTCTTTTTTTCCACAAAAAAATCACCTTTCTCCTCTCAAAAATCAGCATTTTTCCATTTAAAATCCCCTTTTTTTCACCCTAAAATCCCCATTTTTCACCCCAAAATCGCCGTTTTTTCGCCCAAAGGGCCCCAAAATCGCGGTTTTTCGGCCCAAACCTTGGAGCAGCTGCTGGGTGACGTTGAAGGCGGCCTCGAGGCGCGCGGGCTCCTCCAGGTCGGGGCAAACAGCCCCAGACAGCCCCAAAATCCCCATTTTTCACCCCAAAATCGCCGTTTTTTCGCCCAAAGAGCCCCAAAATCGCGGTTTTTCGGCCCAAACCTTGGAGCAGCTGCTGGGTGACGTTGAAGGCGGCCTCGAGGCGCGCGGGCTCCTCCAGGTCGGGGGAAGGCGGCCTCGAGGCGCGCGGGCTCATCCAGGTCGGGGCACTCGTCGCCCACCTGGGCGAACACCTGGGCCAGGGCGGAGCCGCCCAGGCGGTGCCGGCCGGGGTTCAGCTGCACCCACAGCAGGGTCCCTGAAAAACCCAAAAACGGCCCAAAAATCAGCCCCGGGCGGCCCCAGAGGGAGGGGGGAGATCGGGGGGGATTCAGCCAAAAAATGGGGGAAATGCACCTAAAAATGGGGCTAAAAATGGATGAAATGGGCCAAAAAATGGAGAAAATGGACCCAAAAATGGGGGAAATCCAACCAAAAATTGACCTAAAAATGGGGGAAATGGACCCAAAAATGGGGGAAATGGACCCAAAAATGGGGGAAATGGACCCAAAATGGGGGAAATGGGGGAAATGGACCCAAAAATGGACCCAAAATGGACCCAAAAATGG